AAAAAAAATTAAACAGTTTCAGTTATCGATTTTTCATTTTATTACAGTTTTTATTTCAGTTAACTAAAATGTTTTTTCAATTTCAGTTTTTTTATGTAGTTAGTTTTAGTTAACTATAAAAACCCTGGTACAATGTGAGCGTACAGAGGGTTTAATGGTACTTTGACACTTTGTACATACATCTTGTACTTCACAGTTACCATTATGTATCTGTGTCTGATGCTCAGGTGTTTCTGTTTTAGTCTCAGGTGAATGACTCGTCGTCCACTGCAGTGTTTCTGATGAGATTCCACCGTCCAAGACAAAAAAGGCATTTTTAGCAAATATTTGCAAAGGGACACATGGCAGACAGCTTCTTCTTGTACCTACAAAAATACAAGCATGTAGTGACTAAAAGTAGGAAGTGGTGGCGGTACAATTAAATCGTCATAACGTTGGCCAACAGAATAAAGACATGAAGTCAGTTAGCATGTAGCTAATATTTGCTCACATTATCACTGTCTCAGAGCTGCTTTCAGGGTTTTGTCTTCCTTTCCCTGACACGTTTGTAGCGTCGTTAGCATTAGCATCTGTTTTTGACGTTCTTCCCTCGTTACCTGGTCGCGTCAGGCTGCATGTCGCTCACCTCTGTTTTGTGACTTTAARCTGTGATTTTTGTGCGATTTCCAGAAAGGAGAGGATGAGTTCGGGAAAGTCGAYGCCATCGTTGTGTCCGTGGGAGTGGACGAAGAAATCGTGTACGCCAAATCCACGGCCATCCAGGTTGGTGCACACGCGATGACATCACACAGGACGATCAGCGTTCCTTCACTGCACGGTGTCGGGTTGAAGACTGTTGGTTTAAAGTGCACACATACAGGATCTAAAGAGAGAAACATGAAAGTTGCTCCTGTGTCGTTTGTAATCGCTGCATCTCTCCTCAGACCTGGCTGTTCGGCTACGAGTTGACGGACACCATCATGGTGTTCTGTGAAACCAAAATCATCTTCCTCGCCAGCAAGAAGAAAGTGGATTTTCTCCGACAGGTGGCTGTGACCAAAGGCAACGAGAATGCCAACGGTGTGCCGCCGATCACGCTGCTCACCAGAGAGAAGGTAACGAGCTGCTGAGCCTCATCTGAYGGTTTGAATCATCTGCTGGAAACAGATATTTAGAGGATGGGGTTTATGTTAAGGTTTAGGACAGATGACTTCTCTTCTGAGCTTAATTTGGTGTGTTAGTATCTGAGAGACAMCCTCAACACATACTGAGGACTGATTGATGTATCTTTTATTATGGGCTCTGTTTAACCACAACAGCTACAACCTTTCTCACTATGAGTTGGACTTAAAGGGAGGTTGAGGTTCTCTTCGACTCAGATTACCGTATTTTTCGGACTATAAGCCGCACCCGCCATTTTAAAAAAAATCCGCGAACATTAACATATAAGCCGCACCGGACTATAAGCCTCACCCCCAACAGAAAAAAAAACCAGTACACCCAAATTTGCCGTCAAAAATGTGAATTCAACATCAAAACATAAAAAGCAAACCTTTCTTTTGGCCTTTTTCYGCTGTTCTGTTAATTTAAACTTTTGCTTCTTTCAGCAGCTTTCTGCTATCTTAAGCTTTTAATGCTTCTTAAATGGGTTTTTTTGTGTTTGAGCTACTTTTTAGCTAATTTCTGCTTCTATTACTTTAATTTTAGTTATTTTTTGGCAATTTTTTAGCTATCATTCTGACCTTTTCTGCTATTCTTCTGTTAATTTAACTTTTTATACTTCTTTCTGATAATTAAGCGCTTTATGCTTCTTTTAGCTGTTTTTTTGTGTTTTTAGCGACTTTTTAGCTAATTTAAGCTTTTTTTCAGCAAAACTCACCTCTGATATTTTCAGCTTTTTACTGTTTAACTTATCAAACATGTTTTGTTTCTTTGAACTGATTTCAGCTAGTTCATCTACTTTTAAGCTATTTATAAGCTAGTTTCAGCTTTTTTAGCTGTTCAGCACTAGAGATCGACTGATACAGGTTTTTGAAGGCCGATACCAATTTTTTAAACATCAGTCTAACCGATACGTGCAGCCGATATTTTTTGGCCGATTCTTGAAGCCGATACCGCCTTTTTCTTTTTCCATTAACATGATAAAAATAAGAATGATAACAAATGTGACACG